TACATCTTGTGAAAATTTTGTGATTCTGTTATACTATACAACGGGGTTGAGTTAGCTTTATATCAATACTGAGCAGGCCCTGTGTGTAATTTTAGCTGGTTCACTAATATTATCATCGAGAAATCTAAGGGAAATTTTTATTACTGAGGAGATCGAGTAGGCAGCGTTAAGTAAATTAACTTGAACTTGTTTGCGGCACGTGTGCATTGCCATTGAATTGCACGAATATTGTTATTTATTGCAAAGTATGCAGCGTAGAGACTTGCTAGGATTGACTACTAAGATTGCCAGGCTGAGCAAGGGAAGCACGCGAAAGTTTAAAACTAGGCTTAGCCAATCTTCGTTTAGCAGCGTATCAGACGTTTTTGCTGACAACGAATCGTCTAAAGGTCAAGCTGATCTTTCAGTGAGCGAAATGAAACTAAGAAGCGAGAAGAACCTCGATGGCGTTCAAGGGCGAAGTGCCGAGGCCGGACCGGCGAGCGAAGCGCTTGTGGACCCCTTTGATGAAGGGGAACGAACGCTTATTCGACCCGATTTTGAGCCAAGCGAGGAGCTCGAGCGGGAGGAAGTCGAGAGGACGGACGAGACCTCGGAGCGTTCCGAGGTCGAGCCGCGAGAGGAAGTGTTATTCAAGGGAATGTCCAAATCGGAGACCAAGAGTCATAGGTGGAGGAGAGAATATTCACATCCGGCCAATACCCACTCATCTCTGGCCAAGCAGAGCAAGAACGCGATGATGTCGAGTATAAGCCCAAGTGAAGAACAAACGTGTTCAAAGGCCCAGAAAGCTGGAAGTCTTTATACGATGAGCACATGGCGTCACTACAAACTGAAGGTCTATCTTCCAGTTATGACCATCCGGAGACATCCCACCCGGATGTGAACTTCACGCCGTGCCCAAGGAACGACATGAGCAGGAAGGCGTTGTCCGCCTCGCCGACCAGGCCCATGTCTGATGGGATAACGATGGGAGCGTCCTCAACGTTCGACAAGTTGATGATGTCGATGGGCAAGCAAAAGGGCGGCGCGTCACCAAGTACCAGGCTGCAGCCGCAGTTGACCTCATCTTCTCTGGGGCTAACCCCGAAATTGGGGGCAGCTGGCGATATAAGTGACATGTTTGCTGGCGTAATGACTGGTCTGGATGAACTGAGACGGGACATGGCAAAAAGAATAGATCAAGATAGATCAAGTTGACGAGAGAGCTTGATCTATTCGCAGGCGAGAGTCGATCAGGCTCAGTTGATTCGCAACACCGATCAATGCCTGGCGGAGAGCTTGGCACAGGCAAACAAGGAGTCAGAGGAAAGAGAGGCTAGGATGACAAGAGAGATCGAGCGACTGTTGAAAGATCATGACAATACCTATGCCCATGCGATGACTAGCCTGGAAAAAAGTTAGATGCGGAATCTTAGACGAGATCTTAAACGGAAGCAGTCGGGAGGAGCGTTCCAACCCAAGGGAGCGCTCACGCTAGGCGAATGATGGAGATGGAGCAGTCAACTATGCCGGGGTCCAGCAAAACTCGAGAGCGAATTACGAATCTAGGAATAGGTAGCGGTCCAGGACAGCCCCATCGAGAGCAGGTTGGACGAAACTGGTCCCGCCGGAGACGGATGCCACCCCTGAGACAAGATTGCCCACTGTGCCACAAGTCAGATCGGTCCCAGATCTGACTACGGTCTCACAGGACACTACGATTTATGCTTCGATATTTGAGCCTCTGAACAGATCTCTCGAGACATTCATCACCAAGCTCTCGAAGTCAACCGAGAGAGGAGAGAGGTCAAGAAGGACACTGAAAAAGCCTAAATCATACAAAGATGAGTCAGACGGCTGCATTGATACTTGGATAGAGAATATGAAGTTGCGTTTTGAAGAGGAAAATCTCTCAAAGAAACAGGAATGCAGCGCACTGACAAGCAACCTGGAGGGTACCGCCCTGAATTGTGTAATGGCGAAAAGGGCAAATGAACAAGACAGTGCTCGCAAGATATTTGACATCCTGCTGAATGGTTTCGGCTCTGGAGTAAAAGGGCATCAGGCTATGGTGAAGTTCGAGAAGAGGCGTCGAAGAGATGACGAATCTCTAGACAAGTTTTTGGACGACCTTTAATTACTTAGGAGGAGAAGCAACCCCGATGAGAGAATTTCCGAACGGAATTTAGATTTTGCCTCGAAGTTCATGAATGGAGTGGAGAGTGAAGAGTTAAAAACAATGCTAGCCACACACTTCACCCTGTCGCATGACAAGGTACCACGCCCGATGATTTGCGTATGAAGTCGCGTGAGTACTTGCTCATAAAACCGAGGGCGCAAAACCGTTACAGCAATTATGGCAACTACAGCGGACAAACCTCGCGACGACATGGATAAGAGGAGGTCCTGTGCGAACTGTGGCTCGATGGACCACCATGTTTCCGCATGTTCTGCTTACAAACAGAACATGAAGGCAATAGGCCACTTTCTCGAAGACGCTGATGCGACCGATGAGGATCACGAAGAGTACGTTAGAGGGCTCATTATGTAGTATGGACCGAGGTGCTTCTTCTGTAATTTGGAGGGACACTTCAAATCGGTCTGCACTCAATTTTGGGATGCAGTGGCGGACGCGAAACATCCCCGCCATGAAGAGGCGCTTTCGGGCGTCAAAGCCAGTCGAGCACGTCTGATGAACGAGGCTGAACCTCGAAGAAAGGAGACAACACTGAGCACTTTTACGACTAAGAAGGTGAAGACCATGCCTGACGAGGTGGTAGCCTCGAGCTTGGAGGCAGAGTCGGCCGGCCCGCTCAAGGTGGATTATGGTTTGGCAGCAAGGACAGCGTTGCAGAATGTCCAACAGGAGCTAGCCACGAAAAAAGTTGAGCAATGGGTAAGGTCGGAACTGGAGAGCATATATCTTTGGGAAAAAGTTGACATTTTGAGTAAAACAACGTAAGAGGACACACAGGAACCCAGAAAGCAGGGACTAAAACTAAACGTCATATCGGGTAGAAATTTTGGCATGACGAAAGAGGGGACGAAGATAATGTCCATTATCTCAGTCGCAGGACACCAAGTGGTCAAGAACTTGAGTGAACCGTCCGAGATTACGCTGGTCCACCTGGATATCTATGCAGACTACCTGAGGGAGAAGGATCCCAAGCTGGCCTCCAGGGCAGTGCGAGCGCTGCTCACAACAGGAGGTCCGAGGCTGATGAGAGTGGATGGACATTACATCGAGGTCCATGGCCCATATCCGATTCTGATGAATGTGGACGGCATCAATATCTACACAAAGGCTCACGTAACTGATGCGAGTGATCAGGTAAGCCGGATATACATTGGCCAAGAAGAGCTGAATGTGCGACGAATCGGACACAATGCCGTGCTTGAACAGGATGCGGTCCACATAGGTTGCGAAGCCGATCTGGCAGCACATGTGCTAGATGTGCAGGGCAGACAACTTTCAGTGAAAGGATTGTTAGACACGGGTGCAGCGGTCAGCGTCATGCCAGTCAGCCCCTGGACTGATATGGGCTTTGACATGTCGGATCTGATACCGACAAACATCAGACTGGCAGTTGCCAATCAGGGAGCAATCTATGTGACAGGACGGACCCCGATCATATCACTGCAGCTTGGAGAAAGACATCTTTGGATGAGCTTCCTGGTGGTGGAAAATTTGGACGAATCCGATCAATTCATCCTGGAAAGGGACTTCGTACGTTATTTTGATGTCACGATCGACCTAAATGACGGGTTGATCAGACCAAGGATCCCGAGAGGAAGTATGAAAAGAAACCTCCTAATAAGATCTTAATTAACCAGGCTAAGGTGCCGATTTTTCTGGATCGAAAAGTGAGATTGAAACCAAACCATGGCGTGGTAGCGACGTTTAGGATGAGAAATCTAAATGAACTCAGTAATGACAGACAGGTGTGCCTGGTTCCAAATCCAAACAGTAAGAGCTCGGCTATTTTAGGAAGAAGCTTCTCACTCACTCAGAGCGGACTGTGTGTGAGTGTGTTGTTGAACACAGAAGCAACAACAGTGACAATACAGAAGGTAAAAAAACTTGACTACGCACTGCCTCTGAACACAGACTTTCAGAGTGTGGAGAACTTGAAAAAGTTCGATATAACTAAATGTCCCTTGCATGCGAATCAAGAATGTATATTGAAGAGAGTAAATGAATTGAACTCTTCCAGGAAATTGTTTTCAATGAAGTCGGAAACAGATTATGGGTTGTCTAGTTATTCGAATTTTCCCGAGAGACCGACAGAAACAGAGTTAGCAGCGGATAAACCGGTACTACATGAGATAGAACATTTGTAGGGTAAAATATCAGACAAGGAACTAGATTCGCTCAGGGCGGTGCTAAGTCGGAACGCAGACGTTTTTTCGAAACATAAGGCCGACATAGGTTGTTGTAATTTTGTAGAACACGAAATTGAGATAGAAGAGGGCTCGGTACCTCATAGGGAAGGGGCGAGAAGAATGACCCGTCATAATTCGGAAGCGTGCAGGAAGGAAATCGAGATGTTAATGGAGTACGACATGATCGAGCCGTCGAAATCCCCGTGAGCTTGTGGCGTGGTCATGGCTAAAAAGAAAGGGGGCAACTCAGGTTTTGTTGTTCTTTCCGTTATCTGAACGCAGTGACTATAAAGGATGCATACCCGATTCCCCGCATCGATGAGAACCTATCCAAGCTGGGGGACGCGAGGTTCTTCACGACGTTAGATTTGGGCTCGGCGTTCTGGCATGTGCCACTCCGAAAGCAAGTTCGTGAAAAAACGCGCTTTGCGTGCGAGCTGGGATTGTTCCAGTGGAAGAGGATGCCGTTCTGACTGCGCAACGCGACGGCCACATTCCAGCGGCTGATGTCCCAGGCACTCACGAGTGTGACAAAGAAATACGGGAATCTCATCATGTGTTACGTCGATGATGTCGTGATCGCAATGCTAACCCTAGAGGATCACATAGAGAGGTTGGATCAGGTGTTTACTTGAATGAAGCATGCGGGACTGAAATGTGAACCCTCGAAGTGTGAAATCCTCAGAGACTCCATAAAGTATCTAGTACGCCTGGTGGATAAGCATGGATTGAGACCAGACCCCGAAGCGGTCGAAGCGGTTTTGACCAGGAAGGCACCCAAGACAGATACACAACTGATGAGCTTTTTGGGGTTTGCTAACTATTATCGGGAGTTCGTCAAGCGATACACCGACAAGATACACCCAATGCAACAGTTGATGAGAAATAAAGGAAAAAGCTCACTTGGACCGATGAGGCACAAGTTTCATTTAAAAACATTAAACAAGAACTTTGCGAGGCAACAGTCCTCGGCATGGCAACAGAGATGGGGATGTTTGTGTTAGACACGGATGCATCAGTAGTTGCGATATCAGGCATGCTTCACCAGGAGCAAGAGTGGAACGGGAGAACGGTTCTCCGTCCAATAGCCTACGGAAGCAAGGTCTTAAGCGATACCGAGATGAAGTTTGGCGCACCAAAAGCGGAAGGATTCGCGGTGATCACTTTCGGTGGAAAAATACAGGGCCTACTTGGGGAGTGCTCCTTTCAAGTTGCTTGTGGACAATCGTGCCCTTGCCTGGCTTAAAGCTATTCGATGGACCAAAGTTATGTTGGTCGCTGGATTGTGTGCCTGGATGGATACCACATGATCATAGAGCACCGTACCCGTGAGAAGCATCAGAATGCTGATAGCCTCAGTAAGAAGACAGTATACTATGAGCGCCTCGAAGAGAAGCAGGCTAACCAAGCGGAGATCAAAGACGGGTTTTCATTCCTAGACAAGGAGACCTACGACAAGCTATCACTCACTAGGTGGCTGGATAAATCAGGGCATCCGATACCAGGACACCCTGAACTTCCAGTGGAAACGGCCGCTGAGATAATATTTTTAGCCAGGGGTGAGCTCGTTCCGCTGGATCTGCTAGTCCGATCCAATCTGGTACAGCAGGAGCTTACCAGGTTGTGTATAAACAGCATAGCTCTGTTAAATAGGACGGTGAACGTGGCGCCGGACTTCATGGGGAAGCTCCGTGACTTGCTAGATAGGGAGGTTGATAGGCATGACGGTGAATGGATGGAAACCATGCAGCGATTGACCGTCACTGAGAAAACGGAGAAGAGGCCAGTGATCATTCGCGGTCGCGATGTGGAACGGGATTGCCGTTCGATAGTGAACCAGCTGGTGACCTCAATGCCGAAGGATGTCTTGTTGAGGACTTCGTTCACAGAACGTGGGAAATCGACCCCGGTCCAAGTCACTGAAGAAGTCAGGGTCAAGTCGAAATGCAGCTTCACGAGAAAAGTACATTTCACGGATGCAAAAGAAGAATACGAGCCGAGCTCAAATTGCTCTTCCGGGGACCAAACAATGTCCGGGGAGTCGGACATCTTCGGGCCCGTGCAGGAGGACTTGTCCGGGGAGAGGTTGATGAGACCACCTAGGGATAGATTGTTGTCCGGGGAGTCGGATTCAAAGCGACCAAGGGACAGAGTTTTGTCCGGGGAGTCGAGAAACATCATAGACAGAGTGGAACATGATGGTGTGGAATCATTCAGCTCAAGTGATGACTCGAGGCCTCAGTCCTGGGACAACACATCTGAGACTACTTCCAAGTCTGATGTATCGGAGATTGCGATTCATCCTTGTTGGTGGACTGGAAACAGCGCGGGCTGGACAGAGAAATGCATCAGGATCCGGACGGAGACAGGTACACCTCCGATGAGGAGAGCACTGTGGTGGATAATGCCGCTGATGAGCTCGAGCTGATAGCAGTTTCGAAACGCCCAACCAGATTACTGCCACATGGTACGGTCGTCCATACCAATCTCGAGCCATCTGTGCAGGAAGCAACGCCTTTGAAGAAGATATGGTGCGTCAAGTTGATGGACGATGCTCATGCTCCGGAGGTAATGAGCGGGCAATTAAACGTGATAAAGACGTATCTGAAAGCCAGATACCGGCTGTCGGACCTCCTAAGGGCTCATCAAAATGACAGAATGACGAGCAATCTGAAAAGGTGGATCGAGAATGGAGCAACTGACAAAGGAGGTCTAGAAGAAGACAGATATAAGATCTTGAAGCAGTTCTACCTGAAAAGAAAAGATTTGTTGAACCTGAATAAAAACGGAATTATAGCCTGTAAACGTAAAGAGGAGGACAAGGTCCTTTACAAGTACAATTCGATAGTGTTACCACATTTGTACCAGACCGAGTTGCTCTTTCGTTCACACGATCAGATGGGCCAGCAAGGTGTGGACAAAGTGTAAAACAGGATACAGAAACGATTCGAATGGCCTGGTTTGAAGAAGGCTTGTGAAAAGTGGATCTCTGCATGCTTGTCGTGTCAGCAGGCGAAAGACCCCTGGAAACTAAGATTCCCTCTGCAGTCAATAGAATCATCGGGATTCAACGAAGTAGTGCAAATTGATCACCAGAAGATATGCATGACAGCCACGGGCTACAATTGATCATTTTACGAAATAGGCAGAGGCAGCACCCTGCATGACAGCATCAGCGGAAGAAACATGCGATAACTTGATAAATGTGTGGATAGCGAGGCACGGCTGCCCCATCACATTCCAATCGGACAATGGCAAATCATTCGTGTGTGATCTCACGAAGGAGTTAATGAAAAGGTCGCAGGTAGCACAGGCCCACTCGACCACTTATCACCCGCAAGCGACTGGCCTAGTTGAGAGGCAAAATCGCACGCTGGTATCCATGTTGAGAGTTTATTGCTCACGCTACTGGGATGGACACTTGCCGCAAGTGATGGGTGCTTACAACAGCACAGAGCCTTCCACCACGAGAATAAGTCCGCATATGATGCTAACGGGTCACGAATAAGCGCTTCCGTTGACTTTTTTCTACCCTGAATATGAAGGGAAGAGAACAGCACCGCAAACGTACGTGCGTGATGTCATTAGAAGACAGCAGGATCTCAATGACTTATGCAGAAGGAACACGCAACAGGCGCAAATTGGACAAAAGAGGAGGTTTGATAAGAGGACTGCTGATGCAAGAGCCTACTCAGTGGGCGATTACGTCTGGGTATTCCAGGAAGTAGTTCTACCAAAAGGAACCAAAAAATTATTTAAAAAATGGCGTGGCCCATTTCAAATAACAGAAGTGCACCAAGGAGGTCGGTTTTATCGACTGAGCACAGGAAGAGCAGCTCATTACGAAAACATCAAACCGCACAATGCCTCATCAGAGGATTGGTGCATCCCAGCGGACATGCAAGAGGGAGACTATTTGATAGTGGATCCTGCTTGTGAGGTGAATGAAAGAGGTCCTCGCCACAAAAACGACGGAAATGAGGTGGTGGATGATTGCGATCTACCACTGGACCTAGAGTTGACCGAGCGGGTGGAGGTGAACGACGAAACTCTACCTTATGCCGAAGAGGACTGGCAGTGCCCAGAACAGACTGAAATTGACAAAGGAATACAACCTGACTTTCCTCTCACCATGGGGACACGCCAGAGCAAGAAGGGAAGGAACAAGAAGAAGTACAACCCGTATGGCGAGGATTTCGTCATAGACAGGATAGTTTTAAGTGATATGATCGAGTCGCTGGTGGGACTGGATGAAGTAGCGGTGCCAAGAGAGATCGACTTGGTGAATGACATGGGTCAGGATTGGATCGACGATCGCTCCGAGCCAGAAGTGGAGCAGACTCATGAGCAAGAATTAACGAAATTGCGAGTGCTCGAATGGCTCCACGATCTGCCGGCGGATCCTAAAGAGACAATCTTGACGATTCAGGATGTCGATAAAGACGGCATCAAATACGTCAGCCATGACAATACCGAGTCCAGCTGGGTCGCTCCAGATTGCCCTCTACGCGTTCCGCAATTCAACCTCGATCTGCTCGACTTTGGGCGATCGACGGGGACGTCAATGGATATTTTTGTCCGAGGAGTGGGGGTAGGACTCACCCTACCGAAAACCTGATCATTAAAAAATTTAAATCGGCAAGAGAAACCGGAGAACTGGAGACGGAGGGCGAGAACGCTAAAAAACCACCTTTTGGACAATTTTTTGAATCTTATTTTGACCTACCGAACCATAATTCAAACAATATCGTCATGACGGACAGCGATTTTATACTCACGCGATCACCGCGGACGTAAGCTCCAAAACAGCGCTAGCGGCTGACTTCAAAAGAGAGTATAAGAAGATCGAGTTTTTATGGAAACAGAGGCCTGGTGTGGGAGGGATGATAGCGCTGCCCCTGTTGCCCAGAGAGCTTGGTTTTGATCTTACTCGACTTAGGGATTTTCTGCTTGAGAGAGGAGTGACCTCTCTCTCAATACCAGTCTATGATCCCAATATGGGAAAGCTATATCCGAGAGGGTTGTACGTCCTTGTACACGTGATATTTTCAGAAACTGAAATAGAGGTTTACTTACATAAAAAGTACTATCTGAGCATATGCTAGGACTTGCATTCGGTGATAAGTGGTTTTTATTAGGTTACTTGATAAGAATTAGTGTCAAGTTTTAGATTAGGTTAGTTTTAGGTACAATATTAGGGATTATGTTTTTATGTGATAATATAGATGTTTATGTGTTTATGTGTTTTGTTATTGTTATGATATGTTTTATGTTTCGTGTCATAAAAGACCTAGAGTACTCCAGGTCATCAAGGTGACAGCGCTCATTATTAAATTCACTTTATAGAGATTAGGATTGAGTTAGGTTAGCTACTAGGGATTATGTTTTTTTTATGTAATAATGCAGATATATGATGTGTATGTGTTATCTTATTGTTAGGGTATGTTTTATGTATGTGATGTTTGGGTCCTGAAAGACCTGGAACACTCCAGGTAGTGAAGGTGACAGCGCTCATTCGTGTTACCTCGATAAGGTTGAAGGTGGATGATCCACCTTGGTGCTAAATTTTAAATCAGCAACGAAGAAAATTTGCAATGGATCGTTTTAAAGAAAAAAAAGATGTGAATGATGTCTTATCCTGAAAATGGGACGGCATGAAATGATGGTCTTAAGTCATGACTTGCTTTTCAGACCTTGATTGATCATTTCTTGTTTATTGAACCCAACAAACCGGAAGGGAAATCGACGAAGAAAATCAACACGATAGAAATGGGCGACACGAATGAATTAATGGAATTCCTCTCAGCGAGTCTAGGAGCGACTCTAGACGAGATCTATCAGCGGCTGATTGATTGTGACTTTACACGAGAAGACCCGGGATTGGCGATGTTTGTGGTCGCGCTCCTCAACGCGTTGGGACGAGAGGGTCGAGGGAATCGCCCCACGGAAGTGGTGTTGATGCTGGCCTTCGGTGAGTCCGGGACCGCCGAGAGAGGTCGAAATC